GGGGGCGGTGATGGGGGGGGAAGGCCTGAAACAAAAATCTCAAAACTGGCACAGGACATGCAGCTCTTCCTCCTGGCCATATTTTTATCTTGGGGAATAAACTTTTTATTTTCAAGTACAGTATGTGCCACATTTAAGTAAGAAGACATGAAAGGTGACCATTTGCATAAAAGGTTTGTATTGTTGATGAAATGTTGACCCAGTGTCTCAAGATGTCAATGGCATGTTTCCCCTCTTTTTCTGTTCAAGTTAAAAATTGGTGGTGCTTGATCCCAAGAGGGGCTGAGCACCAAAGTAAAATGAGATTTCAGACACTGTGTTACACATTATGCACTTAAGAGTTTCCTTGACCTCCATTGCATACTGCTGAGGCTTGCAGCCCAAGCTCATAGATTTTCTTCTGACATGTTTAATCAGTTAGAAAATATTTAAAAGTTTAGAGGCCGAGAGTTTGCTATTCAGCGTTGAATGCCATGCGCTGTCTCTCCTTAGCTGCTGCTCCAGTTGCACATATCTCAGCTCAACATCCGTACTCTCAGCTGAGTAGGTGGCACGAGAACCGTGTACGGAGCTTCAGTCCCAGGCATGCGATTTGTGAGGATGCTGGCTCGCTCCGAGTTCAGTCAGGACCTCTCTAGCTCCTACCTGGCTGCCTGTGGTCAGGTGCTACTTAATAGCATCAGGTCAGTCACTGAAAAGAGTAACCTAACGAATCCTTCCACCTCGGGGCTTCTGCACACAGAATTTCTTTCAGAGAAATCCTTCCCTGAAGCTGGCACGGTGTTCACCGTACACCATGCTACAGCGTAACACAACCAGAGCGTACTCAAGATTTTTACATACTTTTTAGAGGAGTGCTGGGTCCACTTGCAGGTGTAGCAGCTGTCTCGGACAGATCTGTTTAATAAACAAGCTAATAGGCACAAGTTTGATATGATTTAAACATCACTGTTTGGAAAACAGATCCTGAAGTAATGCATCGTTAGCCATATAGTTATGTGTGAACAGCATTTAGTCCTTAAAATACAATATCTAACTTGAGAAGATACATAGGAGGTAGCCACTGACGACGTACTCCCATTACGGTGGAAGGCACAAAACAGGATATGACTGTCAGCATGAAAAGATAAAGGGCTGTTCCTAAAGCAGGGTAAAATAGCAGGAATCCATGTTTCTAGTTAAGCCTTTCTTGATGCAAATAGAACTGTTAGGTGCTTCTAAAACAAATGAATATTTTTTTCAAAGGACTTTAAAATTAAGTTATTTACAATAAAATATATGAGGAAAAAAAACCCCTAGATCCCAAGGCATTAGTGCAGAATTGGAGTGATTTATGTTGAAGGCAATTGACCGAGAGATGATGAAGAACATTCTCCACAGTTAAAAGTGTACATTTTAAAACCTGTTTGGGTGCTTTTAAAGATTCCCTTTTCCATTACATTTTGTCTTTTATTACATCATTTTGGCAGGTCATCTGACAGCATAATTGATGTTTCCATTTCAGGGCCTGTGTGTTTTAGTAATTAGCTGAAGGGGACAGAGATGTTGTACGATAGCATTATTTGTGAGTCTTAATTCGTAATCTGAGGTTAACAGAAGGATTCCTGGTGAATTCAGTCTATTTTTGGATCCGGGCTCTAAAAAGGCTGCAAATACAGACTACAAGTCACATGCATCCATAGAACTGTTTTGTCTGGAATATTTTTCTTTTGAAGAGAGTATCACCTAATTCTTCTCTCTCCCTTACTCCCTCTCTACAGAACTTACCTATGAAGAAGTGATTAGCTTTAAACCCCCTGACTTAAAAATGGATAGCCTGGAGATAGAACAGTGAATACAGGCAGCTCTGTCTTGCCTTGCTGCACTATGAAGACTGTTAAAATATAACCATACAATTTAACCTGTGGTCAGACGTAGATTTTACTATCCAAAGATGTTGGAGAAGATGTGGAAAAGCAGATGCATTATACAGAAGCCAGATGTTGTCTGTTTGGGGTGGGGTTTTTCTTTGCCTTGTAACATGAATGTATTCCCAACTCACAAGGAGTGATAAAGAACTGCTTCGTTCTGACGAAATTATGCACTGAGTTCTGTCGAGCTGTGTGTTCTGCATGTCTCATTTTATCAGTTGTATTGCCAAAATAAAGGTGACTTTTAAAATTAATTTTAAAATTGTACATTTAAAGCATGAATGTATACAAACATAAACATAGAAATCCATACAAGCAATCCATTTTTTTTTCTGGCATTTTATCTGTCCGTTTTCATCTTATTTATAGTTAGTGCCTTTATGAAGAGAGGGCGTGGTAGTGAGCTAGACAGAATATGCATATGTAGTCACATCTGTGGTGGTCTTACAAATTTACTGGATGTCTCTCAAGCAATCTCAACACCAGTTGAAAGTCAGTAAAAATAAATGTTTGTCTTCTGTTGCCATTCAAATGTCTATTCTCATTATCTTCCCCATGTCTATTTGTTTTAATCTGCACAATACCTGTTTGTGAGACCATTTTACTTGCCGATAGTACTCCCAACCATGTCGTCAGTGGAGTGCTGGTGAGTTTGCCCGAGTTGACAGGAAGGTGCCCTGAAGGCACCGTGGTGGATCTCTGCAGTCTTCTGCAAGCTTCAGCAAAGGCTGCCACAGACAGCAGCACAGGAGTACTCAGTTCAGTTCACAGCTTTGAATTCAATATTCCTGGTTGTCTTATTCTCCTTTATAGAAACCTCGGGAAAATAATCTAATAATTGCCATTGGAAGACAAGACGAAACAAGATGATTTAAGAATTTGTTTGTGAAAAACAAAATATCCATCTTATCAGAGTTTCTTTTAAAGCAAAATTTTAAAGGATTTCCAGCTCTGAAAAGCTGGAAAATTAAATAATAAATTGCAGGATACACTGGATACTGAAATGTCTTAAAGAATTAAATGTATCTGATTTCCTCATTGAAGGCATAATACTGAAACAGGAATATCCTTTGGCATGAGGCCTCGTGTGGTGTACTGGCTGTGTCTTTCTACATACGTGTGATTCATGGTTGTTCAACGTTGTTCATTTTTGTGTCTTTTTCTCGCTCTGCCAGAGTCTTATTTTGAAGGTGGCTTTTTATATAATTTAGGTTTTCTGCAACTTTTGTCATTAAGATTCAGTTGTACAGCTATTACATGAGGTAATGAACTCTACTGCATTTATTTACCTTCCTCTGTATCTTTTCTATGTAAAAAGAGAAGCTTTTTCTTAATAAACAGATTTAAAAAACATCAAGAACTTTGATTTTTTTTCAGACATTCTTGATACAGTATTGTTTGTTTTCTTTGACAAATAGAAGTAAGCATTCCATCTCAAAAATGTGCTCCTAATTTGTGAGCTTAAGTGATGGGCTGTTGATAATGTTGGCCAGTTACCCGATACTTGCTTTCAGTGGGATACAGCCACCTGTATTCAACTTTCTGCAAGGCATATTAATCTGAAAATAAATGCCAGCGTGGATTTCTTGTGATTCCTCTGAAGTGTTGTCTGGCCATCGTTACTTTGGCTTCCTATGAAGCTGGATGAGGCCTGTAATGGTCATGCAACAACTGAATTTAATGCTAACTAAAATAGGTGAAAAGGTTGTAAATCCTTAAATTGTCTGACTACATAATGAAAATAATCACTTAGCCATGTCTTAAATACATTTTTTTTCTTTTTCTTGTTTACCAGTTCACAGAAAAGTAGCCCAGTGCTTTATTTTCTCTGAAATCTGATAATGAGCTTGCTAGCCTGTTCTGCAGCTGTATTCCAGCTGGAAGGGCAAGGATGAAGTGAAGAGATTTCCCAAGAACTTCCTGCATCCAGCGATAATTAATTTAGTGTGGGATTTGTCCCGTTGTTTATTTAATCTGGTTTCCTGGCTATGAGGGTGGCCATCACCAAGTGTTTCAAAGGATGCGTAAAACTCAGTGGTAGGCAAAGACCAGAGTCTGCTCTTGCTGTAGCTCTGCTACTTGAGGTAGAAACAAAGTTTTATATCACTTGCAAAATTTATTCTTCTGGCACCTCTGAATCTTCCTCTGAATATTTCCGTTTACATTCAAAGATGTAATTTTTTCTAGGAGATAAATTATGTAGGAAGAGTACAGTCATTTAAACTAATCAAAGGTGACAGTAATGGGTAACAAGAGCTCAGCTATTTTTAATGAAATACCATCAAAACCCATAAATCATCTCATTTTAATGTCAAGAAAAACAGGGGGGAGAAAGACATCTTTTTCCTAGATTTGCAAAATGAAGGTGATTTCTTAGACCTCAAAAGCCACTAATTAAAGTATTTTTCTAGAGCAGGTAACCGACTCCCTTGTGGTAATCCACTATGGGACTGCGACATGGTAAGTTTATCAGTTTACAACAGCAGGACAGGGTAATTGGAAAGCCGGTACCCCACTGGGACAGAAAGGTGGAAGGCTTAGTGCTAACAATGCTTATCGTTCAAGCACAGATGGAAAAAACTATTTGTCAACCAAGACAAATGGGCGAATGGAGGTAAACATCTAGGAGCGAGGGCTTTGTCAGGCTTGGTGAACCTGCAAGGCAGATCACTTAAAAGTAAATTTTAAAGAGTAAATAAATACAAAAGTAAGGGTTTTATTTTATAATTATTTTTTTTCTAAAAACATCTTTAATGAAGGCATTGTTTACATGGCCCAAATTTTATTTGCAAAACTTGTAGCGGAGCCTGCTTAAACTGTGGGGTTTTAATCTCCAGACGTTACTCAATCTCATTATTACAATATAAGTTTGAGGACAGTGTGGTAGGGTTTAGCCCACACTAAATCAGGGTGCTCAGCATCCCTGACCGCTTGTGAAGCACTGGAGGGGCACCGGGCGGAGCATGGCTGGGCGATGCTAGCGCAGGAGGACTGAGGGAGAACACAGCTCTCCAAGGGCTTTCTCTGGTTAATTACTGTCACTGTTAACAATTTACTTCTAATCTGAATTTACCTAATTTCAGATTTCAGTCACAAGAGCTTGTTATCCCTCCACCTACTGAATTGAATCACTTCTAGTATTTATTATCTCACTCTAATCAGTGTTAAGTGCAACCCCGAGTCTAGTAATTTTATCATCACTGGAAGCAAAAGGTCTTGCAAAAGGAAAAAGTTGTCTTTTGCATACATCTCAATCTTTTGACATGTATAAGTATACACTCCATTGCTTTTAAAATCTGCATCTTCATTTTTGAAGCTCTCCACCTCATCAGCACCAAAGCACAGCAGCAGGAAATTGATATGCCACAGCCAAAGCAGAAATAAAGACAAGACTAAAGAAATCTCTAATTTACAATATGCTAATGGGAAGAAAAAGTGAGGATGGTTTAGAGGAAAAGCACAGCACTACAGGGTATCACTTGCCATAATACAGGGAACATACAAAGTGGCTACACAAGCATGAAACAGCAGGGATACTAATAACTTCGGGAATTTATAGGGCAAAAAATAATAAGAAGAAATCAGGTAATCAGCACTGATATATGAAAAAATACATCATGCACCACCAGTAGGTCAAGAGCCATTAATTAGGCAGCATTGTTGCAGAATTCCCATTAGTCATCTTGGCGTTTTTGATGTGGTGTAAAAGATGAAAGCAAGAGGGAAGGGGGGGGCAGTACGCTGCAGGATCCCACACAGCGGGCTCACCCTAGGGACAGGAGGGGGACAATGCTTTCAAGGACAGGGGTAGGGAGCAGTCAATACAAAAGCCACTTCCTTCCTTTCTTCCCGTCACGTGTGCTCCTGGATCATAACAAGAAACCGGACCTCCACCTTCCCCACTCTCGGGACTTGGTCAACGGTGAATCTGTTAAAAAAGTACCGTATTTCGCTGCAGGCAAAAAATTACTTAAGTATCCTTCACTACATCTGCAAGTTGCAGATTTGGCCCAAGAATCCCTGACACGTGAGCAGTGGTCAAGATTTAGCTCTTGCTAAAAGTGAATTGCACTGCAAGGCGGGTAAGTTATGTCTTTTGGTAGCAGCAGAAAGGAATTCAGCCTCGGCAAGATCAACCTCTTCAAGGAAGGAACTAATAGCAACACCTCTGCTTTAAAAGCAGCTGCTTGTTTCTCTTACGCGTGAACCGTGCTGCCCGTGTTTACAGATATAATGCAAGTCTCTAAAGCTGGTCCTTAGAAAATCAGCACGCTCGCGCATGTGAGAGTACCAATTGTCATTAATTTATGAGTCTAGGCAAAAAGTGTAAGGGTTTTTATGGGACTAGTGTCAAGAGACTCAGAAAGGTGCATTAGCGTAGCTGCCACTGACCTTCTTTCTGCTGTAAGATGAAATATTGAACTGATATGCCTAAAGGGGTCTAAGTTTTCATGACAAGGAGGGAATATATTGTGAGTTTCCAGTGCACATGCTGATCTTCCAACCAATCCGACACTTAATCCATTAGATGGGAAATTTCTACATAATGGATGAAACTGTTCAATTAGGTTTCAATCCTGCACGCATACAAATGCTTCATTTTGCACGCATATAGTCCCCCAGCGTCAATCATCATCACAAATTAAGATGTGCACCGTAGTACAGAGGTTTTAGCTGCACCGTAGTACAGAGGTTTTAGCTAGTCCTTTTAGGTTCCAATTTGATCACAAGTAATACTGAAGGCAGTAGAAATACTGAATCACAGTGGCAGCCCTGAGACAAAGTATACATTAAATCTGCCATAACTGGCAGCCTCCACTGAGCCATACTTTGCTCTTTATAGAAGAATAACTTGTAGATTAGCACTAAGATTATACATTCCCATTTCATACTTAATTTATAATAGAACTCGAAGGCTCAAATCAAGAATAAACCCTAGTTATGTTATACTCTGTGCAAAAATAATACAGCGTACTCCTGTCCTGTCCAACTCTCTCATTAGGTTGAGGTGGAAACACAACAAATGAATGCAATGTTAAGGAAGATGGAAAAGACAGGGTAAGAGTACCACTAAGTTTTTGATAATTTAAACAGGTGATGTGCACAACCTTTTAATGCTCTTTTCATATGATTTTTGCATTGAAGTGGGGAAACTCTTCAACACAGGTACTTTTTCCTCCATGCGCAATAGCATCTCAGATTGTGATAATCTCTGATAGTTTAAAAACTAAATTCTTACAGTTTATTGTAGGAATGAGTATGAAGAGGACCTTTAGGCAGGCTCTGAGGAGAGAGGAGAGTGTTAAAAGCAGTTGGTTTATACATAGCTGTCTGCTACACCCGGCCTCGCTTCCTCCACCCCCCTCCAGTGAGCAGGGATAACTGGGTAGTAAACAGTTACTTAGTAAGTTGTCACTTGACCTCTTGAACAAATGAAACGGGTAGTTTAAAACATAAAAATAAATAGAAAAGGCATTATTTAGGTGGTGTATATTTACTCTTCTCTGCTACTGGCGGAGAGCTGCCGCAGTGTGGCGAGGCCCCCAGGAGCGCTCCCCGTCACAGAAGCGGGAACTGAAGCACCCTGCTCAGGGGTCAGAGAGACAAAAGCAGAAAAGTTGCTAAATAGTTGGCAGCAGCTCCACTGGGGAAGGGTGGGGACAAAATAGCATGGGAATATTTTGAGATGAAAACTGAGATTTTTTTTTCATTTAAGCTTTACTTCTTGTTGTAATAAATAAAATGGACTTACTTCCTCCATGGCAACATATCTAAGTAGACAAGAACAGAGTACTTTTTGAAGGTGGGGATATAGAAAGCTGGTTAAAAAATAATGTTCTAGGAATAAGCTTTTGACAATTCAACAAGATTTTATGTTCATTGAAATTTATGGTATGTTTTACAGAACTAAATTATTCATATGCCAATTAGTGTATCGAGAATAAAATGACCATGTGAAAGACATCTTATAGACATAAAGAGATAGAAAGGTGCGAAGATGCTTTATTTTTCCAAGGACTTCATATGATCTCCTGCTTTCCCCTGGCTGAATCCACGTTGCCACTGCTTGGATCAAGGTCCCAGTCCCTCTCCCTGCGCACACAGATACACCTCCTTTGCCTGGGGCCTGGCCGCCAGCTCCTGATAAAATAAGCTGTGCCATTTTATCACTGCTAATGAACAGTTTGTTGTGAGCAGCGTTGCCATCAGACTCTCTCACCAGACTCCATACATGCAGAATTGCTCAGGAAAACATGGTTAGCTTTCTCACTGCTCTCTTGCAGAGCTCCTGCTCCAGCACCGAAGCCTCACGTCCAGGCTGGAGTGTAAATTGAGCTCTCAGTCCCCAGAGGGATTAGAAAGACTACTGTACGCATCCCATCTACCTCATGTGCTTTGCAGCTGGTGGCAACCTTCCAACACATGGAACGCTGGCTCTAAAAAAACCCAAAGGTACCACAATTATTGTTTCTTCCTGGTAACAACCTTGCCAAGCTTTCCTTTATGGGACAGAAAGTGGTATATTTTGCATCGTTAAGGCATTTATTATCTTTTATTCATGATGTCTGAAGAAGGTCCCTTTTTGTTCTATAAAATTCACAATAAACATATGCCAAAAGCAGAAACATCTGATAGCCTTCCTTTTTTAATTTACTCTGTCGAGCACACATTGCCTGGGATAAGATACGGCCGTAGTATCCTATTAGTCTCATTACAACAGACTTTTTGGGAAAACACCTCACCATGCATCCAGCTGAGCCTAGCAGGATGCTGAGGTTCATGCATTGTGTGTCACTGCTGTAAGATCTATCAGTTGTGGATGGATCCAAGTTTCTTGTCACACTCCCACCATAGGCACTTTTAACGGTTTTATTAGACAAAGCTTCCCTTGTTACAACAGTGCTGATTTCATAACCTTTTCAGTAAGTTTATCTGCTATATGTGTGACCCCATGGGGAAAGGTGGTCTTGTATTTGACCTACACCACTACCTCATCCATCTATAGCAAAGTATACCTAAATACCTATATGGAGAAAAAAACGGGAAACCAGCATGGGCCAACTTTGCCAATGAATTTAAAATATCTGACAAAAGTTGCTCCGTAATATTCTCAGCTTCTGCACAAGAGTGATGTTGCCTTGGTGCTGGGTTAGTACTTCCCTCTACTGTATCAAAATCCTCTGCTTTCTGCCTTGATAAAAAGCAAGCAGTAAGAAAGCATCATTTTGCCACAACTGGATAAAGGAAAAGCAGGTGAGGGATCAAAGGCAGAACTAATCCTTGCTGTATTAGGCACATATATATTTGTCATTAAAAGTAATTTAACTAATGGACTGGCTCAAAATGGAGTGGAAGCTGCACTATCCTTCACCTTGCCTGAACCACATTGCACTCCAGCCATCATCTGAATGGCAACACATGGCATAAAAGGGACATCAGAAATTAAAAAGAAAAAAAAAATCTTCTGGGACAGTGGATTTTAAAAGCAAACATTTATCATTAATCTAACAATTGACATGAGCCTCTCATTACCTGCCAAATGTCAGAGGGTTGGTTTCCATTCTCACTAAACCAGGGAGTCAAAGAGGTCACCAGCAAGCAGAGAGCAGTGCTGGAGCGCACCGCTGTTGGGCAGAAGGATGTTTCGCTCCTGTACCCGACACATAAATATTGGGAGGAGGGAAGGCAGGGCTGCTCTTCCACGTTTGGTAGTCAGGCAGGAAAAGGTCCAGGCCCATGGCAACTACCAAAAAGGCATCAGGAACAATGAAACTTGGCCAGATTGCCCCTTTCGAGCTGAGCCACAAATTGAACTCTAGTGACAGCAAGTCTGAATTATCTAACCTCAGCAACATTGCTCAGGGGTGAAGTCAGACAAAACAAAGGCTTTACCAGACCCTGAAGGACAAGAATTTTAATTATATTCACACAGAGTACACGTAAAACATTTTTTTAAGTGGATCTTTACCTTACACGTGCCAGCCTGGGCCTGTTTACTGTGGAGATATTGAGAAGGTGGCAATTCTCCGTACTCCAGCGCTGCAATTGTTTCAAGCCGCTGCTTGAACTGTTTCATATCGCACCAACCAGCCAGGGGACTGCTTGTTCTGGGCAACTGAATCAAGCGTGGGCTTGTTTCTATTTAACTCTATGAAATATTTCTGAAACCTGGGGTCTGGCCCCGAGGCGAACTGGGAAGCCCTCAAGCTGTACATCTTGGTGCAAAGGTGACCCGAAAGCTTGCTTTTGTACGCCCCGCTCTCATCAGTTACAGCCCCTCGTATTCCTCAACACTTCCATGTGAAAGCTGGTTACAGAATCACAGAATCACAGAATGGTTGGGGTTGGAAGGGGCCTTTGGAGATCATCTAGTCCAACCCCTCTGTCAAAGCAGGTTCACCTACAGCAGGTTGGGCAGGAACACATCCACGTGGGTTTTAAGTATCTCCAGAGAAGGAGACTCCACAGGCTCTCTGCACAGCCTGTTCCAGTGCTCCGCCACACTCAAAGTAAAAAAGTTTTTCCTCACGTTGAGAGGGAATTTCCCGTGTTCCAGTTTGTGCCCATTGCGCCTTGTCCTGTCACCAGGCACCACTGAAAAGAGTTTGGGCCCATCCTCTTGACACCCGTCCTTTAGATATTTATAAGCCTTGCTGAGATCCCCTCTCAGTCTTCTCTTCTCCAGGCTGAACAGACCCAGGTCTCTCAGCCTTTCCTCATGAGAGGTGCTCCATTCCCTTGATCATCTTTGTAGCCCTCCGCTGGACTCTCTCCAGTAGTTCCCTGTCCTTCTTGAACTGGGGGTCCCAGAACTGGACACAGTACTCCAGATGCAGCCTCACCAGGGCAGAGTAGAGGGGGAGGATGCCCTCCCTTGACCTGCTGGCCACACTCTTCTTGATGCGCCCCAGGATGCCATTGGCCCTCATGGCCACCTGGGCACATTGCTGCCCCATGGTCATCCTGTTGTCCACCAGGACTCCCAGGCCACTCTCTGCAGAGCTGCTTTCCAGCAGGTCATCCCTTAACCTGTACCGGTGCATGGGGTTATCCCTCCCCAGACGCAGTACCCTACACTTGCCCTTGTTCAACTTCATTAGGCTCCTCTCCGCCCAACTCTCCAGCCTGTCCAGGTCTGGCTGTATGGCGGCACAGCCTTCTGGTGTGTCACCCACTCCTCCCGGCTTTGTGCCACCAGCAAACTTGCTGAGGCTACACCTGCCGGACGGCAGCCCCCC